ATATACGAAAAAGCCCTTTTAATACCGGCTGGTTAAAAAATTTTAAGTCAAGACATGGGATAAGGGAATTGAATATTCAAGAATCTTTCAAGATAACATTTTTTTCTTTTTTTGGCATGATGGCTTTTCTCACGCTGATAGTTTTAAACTGAACGTTTATAACTATGACGGAACTGAGATAAATAGGTAAGCTCTGCCACGAAAATGATTAGCTAGCTTGTTGCCGACAAAAAATGCTCCACTTTTTAAAGCAAGTAGCGGCGATTAAAACTTTGGTAGCTGTGTATGATGTTGAAAAATGAGTACGATTTACGATTTTCACGAAAAACGAGTGCTAAACACCTAAAGCAGTACAGTTGATCCATAATCCTATGTGTGATATTGAAAATTGTAGTGCAGCTTTTTATTATACATTGTATAATAAGCAAAATAGCGATGTTTATATCTAACTAAATTACAATGTTTTTTTCATAAAAGAATCTTATTATAAATTCCTAATTCCCAAGAGTAAATACGCTAAAAATTCAGATTCGCCTCAACGATCGGAGGAATTAAGTAAAAAAAACAAGGTTAAATCGGGTAAATTCATCGAAGAATTTTTTTCTCTTTTTATATGAAGAAATGAGAGAGGTGATAATTTTAATAAGAGAAGCTCGGTCTCGCTGCTCTGCTGCACTCGAAACGTTTTAACGGGCGGTTTTAAATTGTCACATAATGGTCTCGGGTATCAGCGTTTTAGAAACTTTGATCTTTTACTCGTTTTCTAGAGTTAGTTAGTTGAGTTTTTGGGGACTTGGCACAAGCCCGCGATGGGCTTTCGCCCCGCAATCGACCCAAACTTCAAGTGACGTAGATTACAAAAGAAGGTCAAAAAGTGTTACTTTATTAGGATACAAAAGAAAGTTTTTCATTTATTTCTTTTTTATCTAATTTGAGTATAAATCTTTGAAAAATCTAAAAGTAATTTTCCATCCTGTTTTGTTAAAAGTAAGGGTCTCTATGACAGCAGCAAATCTGGATCAATTCGACGTCTACGTCGGCGGACCGAGTGAGTTTTCTCTCATTTTTATTTCTTTTCGTTTCTTTTACTTTTTTTTTCCTTGAGGGTAACCATGGCGAATACGAACAGGTGAGAATTCTTGAGTTCTTGTTCGGGGTGTAACAGGTGGCTTTTGTACGAAATGAATTCCTACAAAAACCCTTTTTTAATCTTTCACTAGTTTTCCATCATAGTCGGTCGACGTTTTTTCCTTTTGCAAAAGGAAATACGAGTACGAAAAGTGTTCGTGAACAACTTTTACTACTTAGATTTAAATTTGGATTTCTTTATCTTTCAAATAAAATTCTTTTATTTTGTTTTCTTTTTTAACACGAAGTGAAGTATTAAAATATGATGATGATCTGACACTAAGCTTTCCAATGCTGCCGAATAACAGATTTATTTTTTTGTTTTGTTGTATTTTTTTGTTTATTTTGATGGAATAATGAGAAGGGGGAAATGTAATAAAATACCACTGGGGGATTTATTCATTATTTGAGAATGTCACCGGCGCAGTTAGAAGCCTAGGCTTTAGAATTTCAAACCCCTTCCGGTTTGCAATATCAGGGAAAGGTATTGTCTGCGAGGTAACATTAATCCCAATTAATTCCTGGAGGATTTCGGTCTCCGTGACTTCGGGGAAGTTTTCACTCCCTTAATTTATGATCGATGAAGTTTAAATACTTTATAAAATATTCCCGGTATATGTAATTTAATCTGACGTTTCTTTTTTGATAGATTACGAAATAAATTTTTAAATTGGGTTTCATGCTGAAAATTACTAGTATATTTTGTTATTAAATTTATTTATAAAAACAAGACCGTGTATTATTTTATTGATTATTTAATTAAAGAACTCTGATAATATTAAATTTAAAACTGAACATACAAAACGTGAATAATCATCATTATTTAAAATAAATAAAGCATTGTAGTATCAAAATTCTATTTACACAAATTCTACGATCGATCCGGAGCTTCGAAAGTTTCGGTTCACCTTCATCGTTCAACTTGAAGGATTTCGGAAAGGCGGATGTTTACTCCTTGTAAAGTAACAAATTACTCTTGGGGGAAGACGACGAGACGGTGAAATAATAAAGGATTAATTTGCTTCGAAAATCAATTTAAGTAGAATAACGTTTCTCCGTAACGTTACCGTATTCATGAGTTTCGAGGTGTGCAGAGTCCGAAGCATCCGGACTTGTGGCTCAGGCTACTACAACTAGAATTGCTAATTCCGAGAATAGCCTCCTACTAAAATCATCATACTGTTGTGCTATTAAGCTAGGATCCTCCTATTTGCAAATTGAATCAATCCTATTATAGATCACTTCCAAGTTTGTAACGGTAAGTTTTAGGTTAATTTACGATAAACATATCGGACAATCCCATTTATACTAATTTGTAGTGCATTACAATCGAGGTTGTGTTTATAAATTGACATTAATCCAAGAAAATAAACAAGAAATGTTTCTTGACATCTTAACACAAATCTTTTGTGAGGTTCAATGTTAAATTAGCAAATCATGTAAACGTAATTTCATTTGAAGCAATTGATGGATGCGTTTCTGCAAAACGCTAAAAAATTGAGCGTTTTGACAAAAATTAGTGCAATGAATCATAAAATGTTATTGTAATCCCAGGTTTATAATGTCGACGAAACTGGTCTGTTATGGCGTGCTTACCTGAAAACACACAAACCTTAAGATATGAATAAATCGAGAACCAGAAGAAAAATCGGCAAAGAAAGAATATTAGCTTTGTGTTAACGCCGATGATGCCCATAGACCAGTCACCGTTGGAAAAATCTCGTAAACCTAGAGTTTTAGGAAACATAATGAATAATATTCTCGTTTTGTACTATAATTCTTAAAAGGTGTAGTTCACAGCAAACATGTTCAAAGATTGAGTTTTCAAAGAATTTATACCTGTAGTCAGTAAATTTCAGGAAAAAAGCTACCAGATGATGTAAAACTGCTTTAATATAACGCACCGTAATTGTATGGTTTTGCCGAAAATTATCACATCGATTATTCAACCCATGGACCAGGAAATAATTTTAACAACTAATAGTGGTGCTGGAAAATAAGTGGACAAGGGACGTTGGAAAAATTAAAAAATTACAATTAATCCACAATTTTGGAAAGCATGGAAAGAAGTCAAAATACCAATATTAGAAAATAGATGAGAGAATTTTTTTGATGATCAAGATTATTGTACTGCTCTACAAAATAACATTCAACAAGAAGTAGCCAAGGAAGATATGTTACTTTGGTGAGGAGTCAATTATGGGGTCGTTAAAAAACAAACAGATCTGCGCATTAAAGTATAGATAAGAATTTGTGCCATGACACATTAAGAGTTAGAGAGCTCAATGAGGTCATTCCGTGATGTTGGATTTTAGCAAAATGTTTGATGTGGATATTTATGACCACATCGCGAATAGCTTAGTAAACTGGCTTTCCAACTTGCCCCAAACCGACACCAACGTTCAGCAGCATAGAGCAAATCAACGATTTGTAGCATATCTCTATTAGTGATGGAACGGATAGTGATTTTGCGACAAGCCGGCCCTTTCAAACAACGAAAATTTTATCAAAACTTCAAATATTGTTTTCTCAAAAACTATAAGTTATTTTTCAAATCGTATTGGTTCATTGGAAAGTGGACACTTTTAATTACATTTTGGGAAAATTTCATACTCATATTCCAAGAAATCGATTTTATGCGAATTATTAGAATTTAATTGGCGAAAATTGCAAAATTCGAAAAAATTGTCGATTATTTCAAAAATTTATTTCTCAAGAACTATAGGTGATTTTTCAAAACGGCTTTTTGAATTAAAAAGAGGATACTTTAATTAACAATCGAAAGTGATAACAGAGACAGTTCTGTTAGTAATGAATGTGATGATGAATTACAAGCGAAGAGAAGGAAACTAGACGAAACTGCAACAAGAGATTTTATATATCGTATTACAATGAGGTTGCTAATGACAAACGTGATACAAATAAAGTTGTATTCAATGAAAAAAGTCCTATTGGGGTTGAACTTGATTATTATCTGCAGTGTCCAACACCTAAAAGAGATATTAATTCCTGTGAATGGTAGAGTTCTAAGTAATAGGTTTTTAATATCCAGTCAAAGCCGGATATTTGGTAACTATCCGGTATCCGAATAGTTGCAGGATATCCGTTCCACCACTAATCTCTATCATTTTTATATAATTTTTATTTTTGATTTATTAACGTTAAAGGACTCGTTGTATACTAATCGCTTTGCTGCGGCGCGCTCTTCAAAGTAGAAATGCGAAACGCATTTACCCTTATCGAGAACGGCAATATCACGCCATTGTAGCACCATTTGTTTCATGTAGTGGGAAAAGTGTTACCTTAATTGTTCACGACCTGATTGTGACATAGTAGTACGTATTCTGTATTATGTGGGATGAGTGGGCGGATTTTAATAAGCTGATAAAATCGTTGCATACATTATCTACGGAAATAATAAGCTTTGGTAATAATAAGTTAGAAATAAGTTCTGATATTTTAGTTACATGTTTGTTAGTCAGATTGTCAAAAGACATTTTTTGAAATTGTTTCTCTCAATTTAATACTAAAACATTAAAATAAATCGTAACAGTAGAATTTAAGAACAGTCTAAGAAATGGATAGATCTATCAGAGTTCTTTCCACGAAAATTGAATTTTAATGTTCTGAACTCCCAAAACTTAATAAAATATAAACATCTCAATACCTATTTTCCACTTGAGCGCTATAAGAACTTTTTACGGATTTAAGTAATAAAAACTTTTCAAGTTTCAGATTTCAAGAATTCGAGGAGTACCTAATTTTTTCCAACGGCTGTAAAATTTTATAAGGTCGCACAAAACTTCGCTACCGTCGCGTCAAATAAAACCCGTGTCCAAATCTCGAAACGTAAAGTGTCGATTCAAACTTACTTGCTGGTGGTCGAATTGACGCTTGTGTTCGACCTGGACCTTCTATTGATAATCGAATCGCCGCAATTTACAACGCCTCCTTTGTTCGTTATGCTGAATGTGCGAAGCCTATACAAATCGTCGCTTAAACGGGGGTTGTACGGTTTTTCCGGTAATGAACACACTCTCGGTCTTATATGGTCTGGCACTGAAATAAAAAATAAATTGAAATTATTTCTGTTTCGGTTTAATATCGAAATTGAAAATCATTATCAGCTAGCAACACATGCGGCGCGAATACAGGTGATAGAGAAGATAAATGATATTGTGCACGTTATTCCAAACGTGTATTTTGGAATTAATCAGAGTGGGACTTCGAAATGTATACCTAGTGGTATTTCGTTGAAAATCACAAAATTCCGTCGAATACAACCCTATTGAATGCTATCGGGCTTATTCAAAACCAGCTTAGATTAACCGATAGAAAAACGTATAATAGATAGCAAGCAACATATTTTTAGTTTTCAAATTTAATAACGTCAGCATACCGTATTGATTGGCATGTTTTCAGTTTTGTTTATTCATGTCGATTATTCATACCGACTACAATAAATTTGATTACATCATACCTGTTTATTTAATTCATGTTCAATCATGTAGACCACCTGTTCAGATAAAATATAATATTAAATTCAGGTCAACAAGTTTTCGGTAAGCTAAATAGCAACAACAATAACTAATAATAATAATAATAATAACAATGACGTTGCGTAATACAATTAATATTCATATACTATATCCATATTCTATTCATTAGACAACTCAAATACCTGAATATGCATCCGTATACCTAAGGCACATAATGGATTTAACCCGTTTGCATAACAATGGGATTTGTTTACGTAGACTTAATGGAGAAAATTTACACAACTTAATAAAATTATTATATAACGTGGTATTCATATTGATTGTTTTGAATTTGATGTAAGTAATTAAGAGGGTTTTTGTAATTATGTTTTTGAATGGAAATAGATAAGTTGAGTAGGAGATTACCGCTATTGTAACTTTGAACAAATACGAGTTCCGCTATCCTTTAATGGATCTATTTTACAGGAGTGTATTGTTTCATTCTGGAAACTATTAAGCTGATTTAGCTACAACTCATTACAGGCTATAATATACTGTTATATTAAATAAGCGAACGGACTTTAATGAAACATTTCCAAAGTGAATTTAATAAAATTTAAATTAAGGCATATAACGAAGGTAGAATATTCTTCATGATCTGTCAAGTCAAAGCGCCAAGGGATAACATATTTATTCGTCGCAACTTGCTACAAGTTTTTTCTTTTTCCAAGATTTTCTCTAAGAGGACTTATTCCAATTTGCAGTCGTGATAATCGTCCCACCAGACAGGTTATAGTGGATAAATTCAAGTAGAGGTGTTCTCAATCATCATGATATTATGCGTCGCATCTACATTCTATTAACGATTATTATTTATTTCTATTTACCAAAACAAATATATGGTGAAACTTACATCCCAGTAACGAGACATCATTATGTCTTAATTAACAATAGATATTCAAATGTAATGCCGTAGTCTCCAATGGTCTAAAAGTGATGTAAGATATAAAGATAACTTATATTTAACTATTAATATGATCTCTAACAGTTACCATATAAATGGTTTTGTTAAATTAAGACTTGTTTATACAATACTTATTTTTTTCATGATCCTGGTATGTTGTTCTCCAAACTCACAACATTTCATAGAAATGGTCATTAATAACTAAACTTTCAAATCTATAGTTTGAGATTTAAAAATTACCTGGTAATTCCAAAAAATTCGAAGTCCTTCTCTGTCTTCCTCTCGCAGTATTTTGAAAATTTAAAGGTCCAATATCCTCATTCGATACATTAGACATATTTGAAGCGACCGAATCTCTCGATCCTCGCCTCGATGCCAAATAAGCTAAACCTCCCTTAATCGAGCTTTTCCGTCGGGGTGATGATGGTCTGCTCAACGAAGTAACTGTTGTGTGTCCGCCGTCGTCAGTCATATCAGTTAGATCGGAAGTCGACTTACGGCATCTTTGTAACGATTTTTTTTCTTTTTTATCATCGCTTGCACTTCTGCAGCTCTCGGCGGCGGCATTGATTGACCTAGTGGAAGAGTATCGTTCGTCGTAACCAGGATTCGTACGAATATTAATCGAGGAACGTTTCGACTTTTTATCTTTAATCGACGAATGTCGACTTCTTTTAATTAAATCCGTATCGTAACCACTGGTGTAAAAATCGGAACTATGATGAGAATCCGAATCGAGACTGTTACAAACTTTGTACTCAATATCTTGGTAATCGAGATTGGGATGCTTTTTCGTGGACGTATACTCAAGACTTGACTTCACGGATCCGGAGGAGTCCGTTTTTGAGGACTGGTAAGCTTGCTGGCGATATAAATTTTTAGTCGGAATCGGTTTCGGTGGCGATTTTAAATCAAAATCAAAATAATTTTCTTCTTTTTTCGTGTTATCATTTTGGCTTCGAGGCGAACGAACGGGGGATTTCGGCGTTTTAAAATCAAACTGTTGGGGTCCGCTAACGTGGAAGCTCGGAGATTTCGGCGAACTCGGATAAAAATCCGAATTTTTACCCCGATTCTGATAAAAGGAGGTCGGACTTTTCGGCATGCCGGCACTTTCCGTCGAAGAACCGTACGATATCTTCGAAGACGTCGACGCGACCGATCTCCTAGACGAGGATCTTATCGACGAAGACCTCGATAACGAACTGGTGTTATTCGTACTGCTCATTTCAAAGTTTCAACAGGTGGTGATTCCTGTCGGACGTCGAACTAGATTTCACTTGGAAAAGAAAAATGATCATTTTTTTAGCTATTTTACGTTCAGTCTAATTGGATTATTCCCTTACCTTTATTTTTTATACTAAACGTTTTCGATCGTGGATATATTTCGAGTGCCGCACTGCAGCATATCACTCCTGCAGGATTTTGCACAGAACTAAGCGAAGGCTTTTCGAGCGAGGAAATGCTGGAAAATGGTAGTAGAGTGGGGGCAGGGTTTATTTGGAGGGGGTTTAGACACTTTAGCCCTGGAATAGGCACATTTTTCTGCATTATATATTTATGTAAATATTATTTTTATTTGCCGATTTTACTTAATGTTTTGTTTTTGAACAACACTTGTTATGATATAGTAGAAAACATTTCTTTTGAAATAGACACATTAAAATTAGTGCCAGTTATTTTACTTGTAATTTGTGGGTTAGTAAGGGTTCATAACGTTTAAAATGCTTAAATCATTGTTGTTATTACCTATCGCTCGGATTAAATTTAAAATATAATAGGGCCATCTAATATAATCTAGCGAAACTATACGTTGGTGTACCGTATGTTTTCGTTTTTATTTCTAAATCAAATTATTTTTAAAGGTTTATTTAATAAAATTGCAAAAAAAACTTTAAATCTTGTGGTCTAAACTTGTTTTTCGAGATAAGTTGGCTTAAGAATAGTAATGTTTAAATGTCATTTTATTGGCAAAAGTGTTAGTCAACAATAATTATATATTATTAGAATTATTTGATGTACAGATAAGGTTTGTTCCAAAAAGCGGTCGGACTCGTCCGTTACTCGTCAAATGCAATCGCATGAATCGCACATGTCAAGTAATGTCACATTTCAGCGGATTTCATTGCATTACTTAACTGTGCGATTGCATTTGACGAGTCCACGACGAGTCAAACCGCTGGTTGGAACAAACCTATAATTGAAATGAATTTTCAAGGCAGAGGAAGAGGAAGAGGTAGAAAATTCGAAATGGGTAAAAAGTTAACTGATCTGTCAAATGAACAAAGAAAAATAATAAAATTTCGTAAATCTTTGCTTGAAATCGTAAAAATAGTGAAGCGTGCTGCGCTTCACTATTTCTACTACACAATGCCTAGTGCGGAATTATAAAAAGACAGGTGAAATTAACCAAGCACTACAAAATGTAAATCGATCGAAGCTAACAAGAAGAAATCATTCATTCCTACGTCATCAAATCCCTAAGGATCCTACCGTAAGTGGTGTGGCACTCTCTACAACAGTCTTGAACAGGTCTTTGATGTTCGTGTTAACCTTCAACGGTGCGAAATTACATTAAAAACTTGGTTTTAAAAGTCGGTATACTGTTAGAAAGTCATTCATAAGTCTGATTACAAACGAAAACGGTTTGGAATGGCAAAAAATGCCAAAATAAGGATGTTAACTACTGGAAACTCTAAACTCAATATAAAAATATCGACTGGATAAGTAAGAATTTGACATAATAACATAATCTTATACCTACGTTCAAACGCGGTGGAAGTTTGGTGATGATATGGGGATGTTTTTCAGCGGCAGGAGTCGGAAATCTTGATTTTATATATAGGTGTATCTGAATGACTACAACAAACTTCAAGGGGTTCATATATTAAAGTACCGTTAAAATTTACTAAAGAATCATCCGTGAAGTTTGTTGTAGTCATTCAGATACTCCCTGTATATCATTTCGGTTTATAGCGTTTCCCGCCTTCCGATTTTAAATCTTCATGATTTGTGATTCTCCAAGTCCCCTGGTACCAGATTTCTACTTCTTCTTTCTGTTGGACTCAATTGCATCGCTTTCTTCGGCATTTTTCCTAGACTCATTCTTTGAACGTTGCCGTACCATTGGAGCTGTCATCTTTATGTGTAAACTTGACACCCCTTCTTCAAAATTTCAAAACACTGATCACAGTTCTGATAACCCCCCAAAGAGTTCTAGAGTTCACTGTAGAAATAAAAAATAATTCCGTTTATTACACGGTCAAAAAGAAGGTGAATAGAAGAAGGCAAATAAAAAGGTAGGGGCTAACTTCACGCTTATGTAAATTTAACTGATCATAGCATTTAAACCTTAAACAAAAATATTTGAAATTTCTACAACTGATTTTGCATACTGTACTTACAGATCCATCTGTTTACAAGTAGCATAAATAACATGCGTTCTAAAGTAGATTTTATATCAAGCAATATTATTATTATAAAAACGATTAATTCCTTTAAATTTTTAAGCAAAATTATTATGTATATATAATTTGCTCTAGAAAAAGATAACTTTATTTTAAAATCATTTTAGAATTATCCCACCAACATATGTTAGTACTATATTTATCCGGCGAGGGGCGTTAACTTCGCTATATAAACAGCTGTTTTATGCTTTTCCTACCATTTTGTTTCATGTTGATAAGGTAATTGCGATTTAAGAATAAACATTTCACAAAAGCTTGTGTATTTATCAAATTTTGTGCTCACTTTGACAAAGAGATGGGTAAAAAAAGAGGAAAAGGTGAGTTTTTAATATAGTTACTCTTTTAAGTAGTTACATAGTTAATGAATTTCGGCGAAGAATGTTGGTCATTTTTCGGGTAATCCCGGTTGTATATGATATTTGCGAACTGATAAACATTGCAATGAATAATCTAGCTTTTTCCTTTCAATTTCCTTATCTAACCTTTGATTTTCTTTTACGGTGTTATAGTGTGCCTATAGTATACTAAAGAATAGTTGCAAAGAATATTTAATTTGTTATTAAATATTTATTATTTAATGTGGCTAAAATAAGCGGTCACAACATGGAAGAAGTGCAATAGCAAACGTTTTTATGAAATGACTGTGTGTAGAACATATCTGTGGTATTGTGGGTTTACATTAAACACTGTTATGTTATGGTTTAATCACTCTATTAGCAATTATACAAGTTTTAAAAGAAAATAACAATCTGTTTAGTACATTATTTAGTGTGCATCCGTTCTCTATAACGGTTGTAAAGCAACTCTTTGCGAACGTGTTTTAACCTGTTCTTTTTTAAGAGGCCACCTCCCATCTGCTTCTCGCGCCCGACTGTCGCGACGCTGACGTAATATACACTACAATATCATAACAAATTTTACATTTTATGTTCATTTTTCTTTATAAAATTGCAGAATAACCTAAATACAATAAATCTCTTCATTTTTATTTTGAAATGATTAATTTTTACGTATAAATATTTTGTTTTTAAAAGGAAAACCCTCGGGGGATGCTGAATCTAAACCTGGCCCTTCTCAACAATCACAGCAGCAACAACAGCAGCAGCAGCAACAACAATCACAGCCACGTCAGCAGCAGCAACAACAACAACCACGTCCACAGCAGCAGCAGCAACAAGAACAGCCACGTGAGCAGCAACAACAACAGCCACGTCAGCAGCAGCAACAACAGCCACGTCAGCAGCAGCAACAACAACAACCGCCACGTCAGCAGCAGCAACCTCAATCGTTCACTCAACCAGAATTTCAACAACAGGGAGGTCAAAGAGGTGGTAGAGGTGGCAGTCAAAGAGGAAGTAGAGGAGAAGGCAGAGGAGGTGGAAGAGGTGTTGTATCTTCTATTAGTATTATTGAATATACTTCTTCTTTTATGTGTGTAGTTAACCATTGATTTAAATGCAAAAATGAGAGTGGTGGAGGTTTAAAATAATTTTAACCTTATTGTATTCTCAGTAGGGATTTGGTTTAAGCAAGAGGATACAAATTATCATACAACTCAAACCCCACTCTATAGTCAATGTAAATAATAAGTAGATATATAATAATAAAGATATAATATATCCTAAGAATCATGCCATCCAAAGACGTTTTCTGGATGGAGTCAAAAACTGAATACATTTAAAATATACTATCATTTCTCAAATTTATAACTTTACACCCATATTTTTTTTTAACATTTTGAATACTTTTGCTTAAGGTTACGAACAGCAAGGTGGGAGGGGACAAGCTGGAAGAGGTGAGCCGCAACGCCAGCCAGGTCCACCACCAGGTAGATTTTTATTTTAGAAATTGTGCTGTGAAGAAAATTAATTTTGTTTTTTTTTTGTTAAGGTTTACAAACTCAGTTTCAACCACCACCAAGTAAGTAATTTATTAAAAAAATTAACATAGAAATGATCAAGAAATATGTTTTTCTCTTTTTGAACAAGTTCAACCATTTCCACAACAGTATCCGCAACAGCATCCCTCTCAGTTTTTACAACCTCAACAAGGTTATTTTTGTATAAATGTCAATAATTGTTTAGTATCTTGTTAAAAATGTTTTTTATCTTGTTAGGCGCTCAACGTGTTTTTTTACAACAACGTCCACAATTTGTACAACGTCCGCAATTTATACAACAAGCTGGTACTGTCTTATGATATATAGCTATATATAACTAGCTGGGAAAAACTTATAAATCACATTTGGCCTCTAACACATCTGATCATCACTTTAACAGTTTTAGTGATTATTACACTCATCCATTTCCAATATCATAACATCATCCAAATTTATTCTTTATTCTTAGCCCCAAGGAATAAGCAATAAGTCGCTTTTATTAACTTTTACAAAAGAGCCAAAATAGTAAAAGTATTATAAGAACTTTATTATTATTATTTACTTTTACAACTGAAGTATGTAATAATAAGATAGGATATTGCTATTTGCATTAATATCAAAATGCATATTGTTAATAATATAGGAATATTTCGTTTGTGCAAATTTGATGACTTATTTGCTTATTCATGGGGGCCAGAGATATATGGGCTTGAACCATTCCATATCAATTAACCTAGATTTAAAAAAATTCTAGTTCAGATATACATTGGAAATATTCCTAGTGCGCTAGAGATTATGAATAGTATTAATAAAATAAAACATAAATGTAACAAAGGACACCATATACGTCTAAGGTTACTTTTGGTGATATCAAACAAGGTTCAAAATTTTGTAAGGAGTTTATTTTTTATACAATTACCTCGCGGTAAAAGATATACTTGGTGATATCTATGATAACATAGAAAAGTAAATCTGCACTAGAAAAATACACTGACATAGTTTATGGTATTCCTGCAATAAACGAAAGCGTTATGGGATTGGAAGGTGTTGTACAGCACCATAAAAAAGCTGTGTGAGCCACTATTTCTATAACACTTTTCATATTTATGCTCAGAAATCACCTTTGCTTGTACTCCTTACTACAAGTACTCAGAAAACATCTTTCAACTAAGTTGTAACTCAAATTACCCATCACCTCATAAAAAATTATCTAAGAAACGCTTTTAGAGTAACAATTTCTGATGACTAATGCCAATGTAATATACATATTAGTCATTATTGAAGGAACTCCTATTATTGAACTTCCTTTATGCTTAGAAGTCACATTTGCGTGTACTCCTCACTACAAGTACTCAGAGAACACCTTTCAAATATGTTGTATCTCAAATTATCCATCATCTCATAAAAAGTTATCTAAGAAACGCTTTTAGAGTAACAATTTCTGATGACTAATGCCAATATAATATACATATTAGTCATTATTGAAGGAACTCCTATATTATAGAACTTCCTTCAAATGTTCACATCGAAGATGGAAGCCTTTGGGCGCGATTATTTATTATCATTGCTTATATATTAATATCCACATTTATATTTATATCTTGGTTAGTTTCGACAGTGGTGGAATCTTGTTCTGCACTATCTGATTTATTTCATTACTTAACCCATTACCCGCCACAATTCAATAATATGCGTGCTAAAAATGAGACATTGGCGGGTATGAGTTAAAGTTCTGAAGAACATTGGAATAAAAAAAATGGGGATACCTTCATTTTAGGTACTAGATAGTCCTTTTAAGACTGCGAAAATTGGTTAGCTCAAAAGCACTATGTTTATGTCTGGGACACGTTATGTGAATTGATGTTGCTTGGGATTTGCTTGCGTTCGGTATTATTTTTGTTTTTAATACCTATTTCTATTAAATAATAGGCGTATGGGGTCCTCCAAGAGGAGCACCACAACCGCAAACTCCTCCAGCAGTGCAACAACAATGTAAGACAAAGAAATTCGATTTTATCAATTACAAATCTTATTATATTTTTAAATATATATTTAAGATTCTTCAGGTAGTAGTGATCGCAGCACTCCATTTTCAACACCTTCAGAATCTCGTGAAAGAACTCCAGATGTACTATCTAGAGGTGGAGATGAAATGCAAAGAGGTGGCGGACAGCAAAGGGGTGGCAGAGGTGGAAGAGGAGGTGGTAGACAACAACAAAGAGATGGACAACAGCAACATGGTGGTGGTCAACAACCAAGAGGTTTTGGAAGAGGTGATGGTCAATCACAAAGAGGTGGTGTTCAACAACCTAGTGTTGGGCAACCTCAAATACCCGTACAAGTTAGATCCCCATCTGGGGTTGCTGGACAACAAACACAGTCTCCAAGACCAGAAATTGGAGCTGGTGATTCCGCAAGGTCTGATCGGGGAATGATTGCAATTAAACATGGAGGTAACAAGAATGGAAAATGTTTTGACAATTAGTATAATTCAACTTCATTTCAAAATTGAAGTTTTTTTTTCTTTTGTTGTAACTAAAATTACTAGTGGTGTTATTTTTATTATGTTTGAAATTACAGGGGGATCTGTTCCATTAATTCTACCACAACAAAAGTCGAATTATCGTAAAGGTGGGACTATGGACAAAGTTCGTAAAAAGATCAATGTTCTAACAAATCATTTCCCATTAAATTTGGGCAAAGTAACGAGAGCTATCCATTATGATGTTGACATCACTCCAGATCGCCCTAAAAAGCTTTTCAGGGAGGTAATGGCTGCTTTTCGTGCCGCCTATTATCCACAACGTTATCCAGCTTTTGACGGATCGAAAAATCTTTACAGTGCTAAGGAATTATGTTCGAATGAATTGTCTGGAACCGTAACGGTAATTATATTATTAATGAAAAAAAAATCGCATTTGAAAGCATTTTTGTTTAGATTAGAGAAGATGATCGTGATCGTGAATATAAAGTAACAATAAAACCAGTAGCTTATATTGACCTATCAATTTTAAACACTTATTTTGACATGGTTGGTAAAACTAACATTGGTGATAAACCAATGCAAGCTCTTCAATGTATTGATGTAATTTTACGTAGCGGGCCAGCTTTGCATTGTATCCCTGCAGGTAGATCATTTTTCAACACTCCAATTGGAGCTCCAATAATATTGGGTGATGGTACAGAATTATTTAATGGTTTTTATCAATCTGCCGTACTTGGTTGGAAACCATTTTTAAACTTGGATGTTGCCCATAAAGCTTTTCCTATGGCAATGAACGTAATAGATTTTATGCAGGAGGTTGCACAAGGAGGTAATCCAGGTGATTATTTGCAAAGTTGGACTTTAGACCCTATAGGAAAACATCTGAAGCAATTAAAAGTACAGTATGAAATCCCCAATGTCCCTGGATCTAAACGTGTATTTAGAATAAATAACATTGATGAACCAGCCTGTCGAGCTAGATTCAAAGATGATCATGGTGTTGAGCAATCTGTTGAACAATATTACGCTAAGGAAAAAAGATATAGAATAAAATACAATAAATGGCCGACCTTATGGGTTGGGGCAAAAACCAAAAAAATTTTGATTCCTGCAGAACTATGTACAATTTTGAGAGGTCAAGCGGTCAATAAAAAAATGACAGAAATGCAAACGCGTGCGATGATTAAGCACGCAGCAACCAGCGCTCCAGAGCGTTTGAAGAAGATACAAAATTCAATGAACAACGCCAGGTTCAATGAGAGTCCGGAAGTTAAGGAATTTGGCATCACCGTTTCTGGGAAACCAGAAGAAATCCAAGCCAGAGTTCTTGAAGCTCCTACATTAGAGTATGGTTCAAATAGAATCGTTCGAGTTAGCAGAGGTGCTTGGAACGGAATACCATTTCAAAGTGGTGCTAAAATCGGGTCATGGACGATTATTTCATTGGATAGGCGAACTGATGGAAGAAAAATGGAAGAATTAGAACGAGGTGTAAGTATTTAATTTGAAAACTCATATATCAGGGGTGGGCAGAGGTGAGATCAACAAGAGCCTTATACATTTCTTTTGCAAGCCATGTCATATTTCTAATAAAATTAGATTCAATAGTTAAGGGAATATTTATTGAATTTAATAATTATAAACTCAGTCAATTTTCCTTTGATAATTTTTTAAAATCCAGCGTATAATTTATCAAGGCGGTTCGCAAGAATTCTTTTAGATGTTGATTAGTTAATTGTAAGCGATATTTTGTTTTAACTAACTTCATGTGTGAGTATAAACTCCCACAAAAATATGTTGTACCAAAAATGTAAATAGTCGACAAGCTGCTTTTTTTAAATTAGGATGTTTTGTTTCTGGCACCAGTTTCCAAAAGTCGGGCAGGGAAAGAGATTTGTGCTGAATTTATAATCTTCCTTTATTTCTAGTACTTCTACTATGTTGGATATAACACTCTATCAGAAATTCAAAAACCATTTTGAATTATATCAATTGTAAATGGGTTGACCAAAAATAAAATGAAATTTCTTAAATCTTGAAATCTGGTTTTAAAATTAGTTTTCAACTCTTCAATTTTTTCTTGATATTCATTAATTTTATTTTCCGTAATATTAAAAAAAACGTGCTTTTAAAAGAGGAAAATGTTTAAATGTTTTTGACTTCAGATTATTTTGAAAAAGAAATTTAAATACAGTTGGAGACAATATACTTAGTATTTTTTGTATTTTCCTTGCAAAGCTAAATTGAGAGTTTGTAAGTGCTGCATGGTGTCAGTCAGAAACGTTAAATCTTGAAGCCAGTTTTTGTCTTCCAGTTCTAGACATTGCCTTTATTGTTCTTTTAAAAATATACAAATGGGAGTGAGTAATTCATTGAATCGGTTCAAAACATTATAAACTGATAACCATGTTAAAATACAGTAAAATGATATATCATTCCCCTTCCTCTTTCAGTTCTTCTAAAAAAATTCTTGAACTGACGATGACTTTTTGCATTTACACCAATAAAGTTTATTATTTTCAAAACAATATTCCACACGTTTTCAAATTTTAAATAATTACTTATATGTTCACGATGAATTATACAATGAACTGGTACAGTCTTAGGAATTTTTGGATCACTTTTCAAAAGACCAATAAGTCCTCGTTTTTTCGTAACATTGCAAGAGCTCCATCAGTCGCAACGCTTACAAGTTTGTCAATAGATTATTGATACCGCGAGTTGTTTCTCTAATTGTAAGAGTTACAAGATCTAGCATTCTTTTTTTATATAGTATTTATATATGTGTTATATATATGTATTTCTTCAGAAACGTGGCAGACAAAAATCGCTAATTGTGGAATATTTTGAATGCAGTACAGTTATTTAAATCATATTTCAAATTATTTTCAATAGTTTTATTTATTACTGAAATACGACGCTCTGTTGTACGAAGTGATGTTGGACTTTGGGTAATCAGTTTTTGCAATTTTTCATTAGCTGATTTCAGAATGTTAATTTTCTTAATTACGTCTACTAATTTTTTTTAATAAGTTATCCTTCAACATTCCGGCATTTTTCATGGGCAATATTCCAATCCAAGATATAATAAAATTAGCTTCAATTTTCCTGTTATCTTCGTTACTACATGAAGCTAAGAGGCCTTGTTGTTTCTGGAGACAATTTCTTAACGACATTAATTTTTCTTTTCGCAATTTTGAACTTGGAAAACTGCGGATGCTTCACAATGTCTGCTTAATTGACTTATTTTATAGATTGCGATGGTACTTTTGCAAATAAGGCAATTATTTACCTTTGTATCCTCCAATTCGTCACGAAAACATCTTTATCGTCAATAATCATTATTCACGGGTAATAAACTTGACAGATTAATAATTATTTGAAACGTCAAAATTTCAAAAAACGTCAATTTAATGTAATTTATTTAGGAGAAGTTTGACATTAAAAAAACGTAAACAAATTCCCTTTTTCGTATGATTTAAGCATAAATTAATTAATTTTCTTAAAAAAACATGACGTTTCATAAAATTGACATTTAATTTTGACAAATTGTTGTGAAGTTGATTACAGTTGGTAACATTGAATTTGTGTCACATTGACGTTTAAACTTTATTCGAAAGCTTATTTAAAAAAATAAATTTATGGAATCAATTTCAATAGTAGTCATGGAGAAAGTATAGTATTCTACTCACAGCTATTATTCACTCAGGTTAATTATTAACTTAACTTTAGTGAATAATAGCCCTCATTATGTGCTTTTTTATTATACTATAATAATAACTTGATGAATATCGCAAAAAGCTACATAGCTAAATATCGTAAAATAATAATTTTTGAATAAATTTTATATTAGGTATAATATACTGTCCCTTCCCATTCGGCTCATCAAGCCGCATTTGCCCACCACATTTATTATATATGTACAAATCTTTCTTTTTTACAGTTAATCAGTAGTGGTAGAAAAGTTGGTGTAGAATTTCCACCTGCAACAAGAGATAGAGGTCGTGATTTTCTAGTAATGCAAGAAGATCGTAACGTAGAACGAATGAAACAACAACTTGCCGATTATTTAAACAAAACGAAATATGATTTAACAGTTGTTGTTGTACCAGATAATTCAAAAACAGCATATTCATGCGTAAAACAAGCGGCAGAAATAGCTGTTGGTACATTAACGCAATGCGTTCGAGGTAGAACTGTAGGAAGATTGAGTCCATCAACCACTGATAACATCTTATTAAAAATTAATGCGAAATTGAACGGAACAAACCATATTTTGAGTAGAGATTTTCGTCCGACCGTTTTCCAGAAACCAGTTGTTATAATGGGAGCGGACGTAACACATCCAAGTCCAGATGCTCAAAATATTCCCAGTGTAGCTGCTGTAACTTGTTCCTATGACCGACACGGATTTAAATACATTTTCAGTTGGCGTTTACAAGAACCGAAATTGGAAATTATCAAAGATTTAGAAGCTATTGTAATGGAACAATTGAGACATTTTAGAAATTGCAACAAAGCCGAACCACATCGTATTATATTTTTTAGAGATGGTGTTTCTGATGGACAATTCAACGAAGTACTGTCATCGGAATTAAGAGCTATTCGTAGCGCTTGCACTAAATTAAATCCTAATTTTAAACCGCAAATTTCATTTTTTATTGTTCAAAAAAGGCACCATACCCGCCTATTTCCAATGGATTCAAGAGATTCTGAGGATAGGAACTGCAACGTTCCCGCTGGGACTTGCGTTGATACAGTTATTACTCGTCCAACTAATTTCGATTTTTATCTGGTTAGTCACGCTAGTATTCAAGGAGTTGCAAAACCAACGAAATATTTTCCACTTTGGGATGACGCCGATATGACTGAGGATGAAATTCAACAGTTAACGTTTTATTTATGTCATTTATTCGCTCGATGTAATCGCTCTGTTAGTTATCCAACTCCCACTTATTATGCTCATTTAGCTGCAGCACGCGCTAAAGTTTATATTGAAACTGAAAGATTTATTGATATGAATAATTTGGAACGGCTTCAAGATCGATTAAAAGTTAAAGATAATATGAGCAGAGGTTTATCAATGTATTTTGTTTAATAATCTAATTTATCTGAAAGTATTCAAAATTATAATTGTCGTTTTTTATGATTAGTTTGGTTTTTGAAGAAAACAAATATTTCTTTTACTGCTTCCTTTTTATATTAAAATCTGCTTGGTTTTTATGATTTTTAAAATTCGCTTAATACTTACATTTATTATTTTTTTTAATTTTCAATCAATATATTGTTATTGGATATACAAATCTTTAGAATAAGATATTGCCTTGGGTAAAAACTTTCCGCTTTTTGAGAATTATTGGTTTATTTGGTTTTAATACTCTTTTCAATCATAAATAAACGAATAATAAGCAAAATTCGCTATTTAAAGAGTTTTATGTTATAGACTTTTGGTATATCCCTAATATGTATTTAAAATAAATATATAATATTAACAGGTTAAAGATTTTTTTAAATATCTAAATTAACCTTCATCCCAAGGACGGTAGAAACTAAGAGGACTGCTACCTCTCAGGAACAGGTGTGCAGCTTGACGGCCCGTTAGTGACGTCACGCTTAGGTAGGCAACTACTATTTCACACTTTGTCATTTTTCTGGATTGCACTCCTTTTAGTTTTTACCATTCTTGCTTTCATCCAACATTGTGAACTAAACTGAAGTAAAATGATTAAATAATAAGAGAACTATTTGCAGACGTCACAAAATCGAACTATATAATGCTATTTTATGACAAAAGAATAAAAAAGAAAGAGATAAAACAGTTTTATTTTAAAATAGTTAATTTATTTCATCAAAAAAAGTTACAAATCAAAAATTTTCCCTCCCTTCTTATCTATATACATTTTTAATATTAAAGAGAAATTAAGACGACTCTCCTTCACTTTTAACTCCACCCTCACTACTTCCTGCTTCTTGATCAACAACATTGGTTTCAACATCATTCGAATTAACAATACGATCATGTAAAGTTCTTAGATGTCTTAAAAGATTACTTTTAACGTTGAATCCTTTGCAGCAATATTCGCACATATATGGTCTTTCACCAGTGTGTGTTCGTTTATGGATTATCATGGAAGCGTGCGATGGAAACTTTTTGTTACATAGTGTACATATTTTCAACGTTGAACCAACCTGTTTCGGTACTTTAACCTGTTTCAACGGTAAGGTTTTATTTGATAATCTCAATTCGAATTCGGTGTGTGTATTTTGAATATGATGTACCCATTCGGCGGGTGTCGGAAAATATTTTTGGCACATATCGCAATGTAATGGAGGAAATGTTCCTGAATCATCATCCTTAAAAAAATAACTAAATAAATAACGTGTTAGAATTGAGTAATATTCTTACATTACTAGGACTTCCTCTTCGTTTTCTTTTAGCTGGCATCATATCAGTATGTCCTTGGATATGTTTAACCCATTCAGCTGGAATTGTGAATGTTTCCGAACATAATTCGCACATTAGTGGCGAATACAGTTCTTCATCGTCTGTTGTCGCTGGTTTTGAGGTTTCACTTTGATCTTCATTATCTTCAAGTACAATTTCTGGTTTAATTGTTATTTCAGAATTGTAAACATCTTCTTCTTCAACTAATTCCATTTCACATTCTTCATTCCAATCCAACGGTTCTTCTTTAATCACTAAAACTTGCATTTTATCCTTTTCAGTTTCGCTGATATCAGAAACCGATTTATTTTCGTCATTCATCGTCGATTTTATGGTAGCTGTGCCAGGTTTTGTTTGGATAACCGAGATTTCTTTACCTTTTTCACGTTTTCCATTAACTTCCGTAGGTTTTTCATTAATTTGTTCGCTGACGATCACTTTATCAGCCCTTTTAATCACTTCCTGTTGCCGTACTTCTTGTATTTTTTCTTTACCCGGACTCTTTTTTAATTGTTCATCAACTTTTTGATGAACCTTAACCAATCTTTTATCCGCGGATTCATCACGAGGTCGCCATAATCCTTGAATTTTGAGCAAATCACCACCACGGAGAACATTTTCCAAAACATTTTTTGAAACTGTTGTTTCCCCGGTGTACATGTATTGAATTAAAATTTTCATGGTTTTATAACTTATTTCCGGCGGAAGGACTATCATTAATGGAAGGGTTGTTGAGATTTTGTAATGAAGTTTCAAAACTTGATGAAAATATTGGCTGCAAGTCGAAAGAACTAACCGGTGGGAAAGAATTTGATGGCCATCTATAGTTAGAAGTATTACATCAGCAAATGAATCACTGTTATAATGATTTGCTATGCATGTGTAAAGATGTGTGCCAAAAGAATGCCATTTTAATTGATAATTTTCCGTTGTTGGATCCATTTTCTGAAATAGAATAAAAAAAGGTTAGGACCTATGTAAATCTACGTGAATTCGGAAAATAATTTGTTATTTAATAAAATTAAACTGTTTCCTGAAGGATCTAAGATTATAATAGATAGAAATTCTGAAACAGAAGACGAATAAAGCACCGGCTAAATCAGATGGATTTAAAAATAAGTGAAAAAAAATTGCATGCAGTGAACCAAAGATTTGTTCCACGCCAAATTATGGAAAACACAACATCGACACTTTCCATATGTTCATTGACTTCAAGTCCGCTTATGACAGCATCATACTAGCCAAACTATATGATGCTTTATATAGTATGAACATCTCTAGAAAACTGGCACATTTGGTAAGAATGACAATGAAGAACGTTAGATGCTGCATAACAATACACAGCTATAGCCTACAAATAAATGACCAAATAAAACAATTTAATCAAAATAATAATGGCATTACAGTATAGGAGAGAATCTTGTAATCGCCACTAAGAATTTCAAAGTGGTGTGATAGTTTACGTATTTTAGTTCCATCGAGAAATCAAAGAAAAAGTAGTGCAGATGTGAGCCAAAGAGAGCAAAATATGATAAATTTAAATGTTTTCCGGATTGTAGAACCTCGGTCATATATTTTCACCATATTCAAAAAATGTCATAGACTCTTCATACCATTTTAGCCGAGATCGCTTGCAGCCTAGACTGATTTCTTGATTCATTTTGGGTTCATATGGTATTAATTAAGGAGCCTTGGTCACATGCAACCTCGGCTCTATCCGGTGAAATCATATATTTCGACCACAATCAGACGCAGCTACAAGCGCGGATCTGGCAATATTGCCCTGTTGGTGACAATACCAGTTTTCAATACTGCTCAAACATCGGGCGGGATCCCAGTATTCGGTATATATATCATTGACAAACTCACTTGATTCGTCGATAAATCTGATCGAAACGTTTGGATAAGACTCCGAAGTGTTTTTAATATCTTTACAAGTTTTCCGGATTGTAGAACCTCGGTCGTAAGTGACCTCTGCTTAATCAGGTGAAATTATATATTTTTACCTTAATCAGAACATGCCACAGACGCTTTAGTCCATTTTAGCCAAGATCGCTTACAGCCTAGGCGTTGCAATGTGTTGATTCCTTTTGGGTTCATCTGGTATTAATTAAGGAGCCTCGATCACATGCAACCTCGGCGCAATCTGATGAAAACATATACTTCGACCACAATTAAACGTAATATTAGATTCTCCATCTCAAGTTAGCAAAGGTGTTGCAGTGTGTTCTGCATCTTTGCTGAGCTTTGGCCGTAAGTCACCACGACTTAATCAAACAGAATCATATATTTCTACCATAATTAGAAGAAGTCATACTTACGACCGTAAATCTAGCGAAATCATATATTTCTACCACAATCAAACAAAGTTATAGATAATTCGTTTCAAATTTAGCCGAGGTTGCGACTACAGCTTAATCAAACAGTATCATATATTTCCACCAAAATCAGACAAAGTCATATATTTTTTGGCATATGTCTGGCCGAGGTAAATAATTGATAACTTTTGGGTTCATATGGTATTTATTGTGGAATATATTAAATTCTAATACTATTGAAAATAAATATCTAAAGCAAATTTGTTTACAAGAACTCTAAACTTTGTATATCGTTGATCATCTCCAAAGAAATTACAGCTTTAAATCAAAATACTAACTAATATTTAACTAATATTACCACAAACTAAGCGAGAATGAGTTGTTGAGCTTGTTTTAACTTGTTTGGCAATTTTAATAATGAGTAGTGATGTTGAACCATGTAGCTAATTTCGCACTGGTGAGAACAATATTTTATAATTTCGCACCCATCTAATAGACTCTCCAGAGATTGTTTTGCACCAAGCTGAATGGAAAATATCTTTTTTCCATGCAGCAAGTTCATATAAACAAAACACTAACTGCACATTTATCAGCGCCATCTTAACGTATCACAACAAAACATCAGTAAAACTTAATCGAATTCGTTTTCAAGTTTTATAATGTAATACAATAAAAATCGATACGGCTTGATTCAAGTTATAAAAAGAAAAATAGGATTAAAATAATATGAATAATCTAATTCTAGTATATTACTTACAAAGTATAGTTTGCTGGAGTTGATGACAACTATGTAATTTTGAAAATGTTTTCGTTTTTCTTTTGAAACTGATTTTTTTGCGTCCGCGTGGAGTTCACGCGAGGTACTGGTGCGACGGTTACGCCGGAGGCTGGTGTGTGCCCCGCTGCACGGATTGGCGAAAGAAAATCGATAAAATCGGTCTACCTCTATTGATTTTGTCCGACCAATCGTAGTGAGCCGTTTATCGTATCGATCTGGCGTCTGTGGCGTCGGTTTCAAGGCGCGCATCGCCGACACCACCATCTATCTATCCTATTGATTTCGACTATTTTCATCATAAATCGGTTTACATTATTCTGAAATAACCAATTTACAATTCAATTTAATATGGGGTATTAAAACGTCAACCACAAACCTAAGAATTCTAAGAAAGTTTTTTTAAGGTGCCCATGACAGCAATTTAATTAAAAACAAATTTTACAATGAATCGTTAGGGTTTTCAAGTCATTATGTACAGTGTAATAATAATGTAATGATCATATAGATAATCAGTCTGATATTTGATAAAATAATCAAGTTAATTCTATGGGAATATTGTAACGTTGTCAGTTGATATTGTGTACATAAACATACTCAATTCTTTATTTGTCAGTCTACTATGATTATAGGCATCATAGCAAACAACAAAAATATTGAGTGTAGACCATTTCAGATTTTATATATTGATTTCGGCTAATCAAATTTAAATACACGTACGTTATTGTAGATAATCCAAAGAACAATCAATTAATTTAACATCAACATCATTATTTCGACTTGGATTAGATTACTTTATTATAAATTGTTTAAAATTTGTAATTGTAAAAATCAATTCGATTTATGCGCCATCTATCAATGAAAAACGTTAATATTACAGAGTTTTCTTGTTAAAACTAGATGGCACTAACGAGATGTAAATCAATTTTAAAAACTGTTATTATTTGTATTACAAAATAATAACAATGTTTGGATTAAAAAAGAAGAAATAAACAACTTTTGATATCTTTAATAGCAAGGAATACATTTTTCTCCTATTGATTGCACATAAATTTTTGGTCACTTCACCCATAAAGAAAGGGTAAAAAAAATACAGGTCTTATTCCTTCACGTCTACATCATAAACTGGCCTCGACCTTCCGATAAAACGCGACGTGCCACCTTTTATGACGTACAATGACGCAATGGTAGCCGCAGACGTTTTACAGATCGATAAACACAAACAGGTTAACATTTACACACCATAAGCGGGTTTGTACCCTTCTTGCTATACATAGCTAGTCGGATAATTATTTAAAAAAAAAATTAAATTACTCAAAATAATCATAAAAACAAGATATTTTTTGCGAGTAAGGTAACTAAGAAAATCGTGAATAATTAATTAAACACTTTAAAAGTGGAGCCCTTGTCTGGTATACCGATGCTTCAAAGACAGTTGGATCTGGAGTAGCTATGGACATTAGTAGACCAAATTACCTCTCAGCTCGGACATAACCATTTTTCTAGCAGAACTTCTTGCCATAAACTTCTGCACCGTTTTGAATCTAGAATTGCCCTGAAGGCAATTCAGGTACACGTGTGACTCCGCTCTGATCAGAGAGTGTCCCATTAACCTGAGAGAACTTGCTAGGGGTAATGATGTTACTCTATGGTGGGTTCCTGGTCATAAATACATTAAGGGCAATGAAAAGGCGGACAAGCTTTCCAAAGAGGCAGCGAAAACGCACTTTATTGGGCCCCAACCCGGCTGTGGACTACAAAAAAGCCACTTAAAACAATCAATAGTTGGGAGGCCTTAAAGGCAGTCTACGCTGGAAAGAACTTCCAGCTTGTAGTATCGTTGTATTGTTTAAAAAGTCTTCTCAGGTCTCTCGCATTTAGAAAACCATGGTTATAACCGAGACATCTGAAGTAGTGCTAAATTTTAATTCGCTTTTTAACAGGTTTAACTTAGTTGAGTGACACAGTGCGATGCATTAATGAAAATGAAAATGAATGTCTGCTCTTCATCGATGTCTAATGACTATGAAAAACAAAAAGGAAATACTGGAATTATAGATCAAAATTACATAAAGGAGAATTCCGTACTCTTTTTAGAAGACTAACGATGAGGTGATATTTAATAAATAATTTTGTATGACGTCAGCAATTAAATTATGTGATCTTCTTCTTCTTCTTCCTTTGGCTCTACAACCCTTGGTGGGTTTTGGCCTTCTCAACAATTATACGCCATTCCCGTCTCTTACTCCCATCGTCCTCAAGTCATCCTTGACATTGTCCAACTATCTTTTACGAGTTTTTCCTCTAGTATATTCGAACACATGAGTTTTTTGTTTGAAAAATAAGCTTTATTGCCCTTTCCTATTCTTGCCTTTATTTCATTACTTACTGAATTATTCTCGTTAAGTCGTCCCAAGTATGTATGTAAACTCATCCGTCGTCTTAAATCTACTTTCCCCGACTCCAAATTCTTCCTCAACATCCGTTCCTCTTCTTGACATTTTCATATATTCGATTTTATTCTGGTTTATTAATAGTCCTACGTCCTCAATGTTGCACTCTCTAGAATTCTCTTATTTCTAGATCAATTCGTCCAATTATTACCATGGCATTAAATCAATTGATGGAAGTTTAAAATTTGCCAATAACTAAACAGATTACAAAATGTTGGGCAGAGTATTGGGGCGCACAAAATATTGACAGTTATTGGTTTTAACCTTGTTATATGCCTTGTATAATACTGACATTTCACTCTCATCGGTTTTATCAAAATGTAATTTTCAAACCTAAATGGAAATTAACTATTTTAAAAATTTTAAATTGTTAAATTAACTAATCTGATTATCGCAATTGAGTTTGTATTGAACAGCTGTTGAAGTTGTAGAACTTAAAGTTACCGTCAGGAACATTAAGCTTAAACAAGTTTGTTCATATTTGCTTAACAAGGTATTGCTGCGAGTATTATCTAATTTAATCGATGGAAAGGCTTATATGCGAAGTATCTTGTTGTTGATATTTTAAAACATAATCCGATTTAAAGTGTGAGTAGTTTATTATTTCCGGAAAATATTTCTATGTAAAAATGCACCACAATAAATAACGAAAGACACTTTTGTGGCAATACGCGGATGTACGAAAGACATTTATGAGCACGAACAGGTATGAATTATGTAAATATCTCACCCGGAACTTTTCATAAGAATCTGCTGCATGGTGCCCGCAACGTTTTTAAATTCAACGCTTTCGGTCGTAAAAAATTCACAAGTATCGGTTCTCAAAGCTAAAAGATGGCAAAGTGAAGTACTCTTATAATTTTTTTTTGCAACTTGATGCATTCGTTGTTTGCTAATACTTAAAAAAACAGAAATATCAATTTAATTTAAATCGTTTCTCATTTTGAGAAAAGAGTAATTTAATTTTGAAGTATTCTTCGTTGTGTCTTTGAAACGGTGTAATATAGCGGGAAATGGGTAACAATTTCGTGTGTAACTTTGAGGGGATCATTGCGGTGCTTACCGAAACTAGCTGGCTTACTAGGAGATAATATTTGTCCACACTTGTTGCACTTTGAAATTTCACAACGGAATATATACATAATAAATCTTTTATGTTGCTTTGATTAAATTAAGTTAATTTGCTTGGATAAAACTTAATTACTTTACTTCTTTGACGTCTTCTAAGTTAGGTAATTCATTAAAATATTGATTTCTTTACATAATCTTTTCAACATAGCTCAAGAACATTGATTAGACGAACTTGAGCAACAAACAGCTCGGAATCAACCGAAAGACTTTTTTGCTATCATTATCGTATCAACAATGGGAACGATTGACATACAAGAATTTGATGTTAATGTGGTTTGGTCAACGATATTCACTTTAATTCGGATGAGCACACCCACCGATTCGACAATGTTGTTTGCTTCGCTTCTCGAAACCCGTTTTGATCTAGCTCATTAATATACACCGAATGTTAGTAAACAAGTGATTGTTTGTAAACAATTTCAGCATATCATTTATTTTATTAAAAATAACAAAAATGGATTATGAAGGATTAAATTGGACTAAAACTGATTTATAGAGATAATTATTCTAAGTAAAGTTGTCATTTTGAATTATTGTAATTATTTCGAAAACATAAACACGCTGGGGTTTAGAAACGTTAGAATAGAAGAGCGAGGGCGCTAGGGGGTACTGTATATGTCTGGAACGAACAAATGTGTATAAAATCCGCGTGATGGCTCATCCCACGAGATGCGAAGCTCGCGACGAATAATAATAAATAGAATTAACGTATTTGAGAATTGAAAATCCCCATTTCGAGATTTCTCTCTCAACACCAATATTTAAAAAAATGAACTCATTTCAAGTATTCAAAGTGACCTATATTTCGAAAAGATTTGATTCATGCAAGACGGAGCAAGGTAGCATGATGATCAACAGAATGTTTAAAGTCTTGAAAGACTACGATTTGGAGAGGACATTCTGGGTTTGAAGTACTTAGAAGTTACTAAAATGAGGATCCCTTGGTTGCTAATCTTTTGAATTCTTATTTAGCAACATTATAGGTAGCTCAAAACAGCCATTCAATATTTTATATATAAATATTTTTTGCACAAAAATCAATTCTCAATATTTATTGAACATATGGTCCATTGTTATATCGATCAAATTCAAAGTGGGGTTATATAGATCTATTGTAACTTATCCCATTCAAAGGTTCTAAACCTAGATCCATGATGAACCTTAGTATTTCTCCAAGGTCTTGTTCTTTAATAGGGCTTAATAGTATAAGTGTAGCAGTCCCTGACTCGTCGTTGCAAAGTTGACAAGTTTGATCGTCAGCTTGTCGAATGTTGAAGAGATGCTATTTTTGGGACGTATGGCCGGTCAAGAAACCTGAGAGCGATCTTAGAACCTCTTTGCTGAGACATAAAACCTTTTTGGTTTTCTTTTGTGATCCATGCTGCCTCTTTCGCCAACTTGTCTGCCTTTTCATTACTCTAAACATGACCTTATATGGCTGATCGAAATTATATTCTGTCGGTATATGATCCGTTTTAATTTGAATCAAGTGGTTTAGACATCCTCTGAGATTACCTTGAATCGGCTTAAGTGAAGAGCTTGTCTTCAGTGATAAGGCATTTAAAGTTGCCTTCTTTTGTATACACAAATGGAGTGGGAGTATAAAAGAGTATAAAAATTTGATGGAATCATAGAAAAAGTTAACTTACTAATGAAAAATTCTAAAATAATTGAAAAACCAAAAATTACTAAGAGTAAATCTGGTGCGTAAGAACAATTACCGAGGACTGAATGTAAAGAACCGCATGGCGTACAAGTACAGTTTAGCGCATGATCGGGAGATAAGATAATAAAGAAATCTCCATGAAATTGTATCATTCAAAAATTTAAAAAACATAAAAGCGTGAATTTAAATGAACATAGTAAAATGTCTGAAGACGTTGTAATGTAGAGTGTCATTGATGATCTTTTTTGTTAAGAATATTAATGTAGAATTCTTCATAGAGATCCATCTCTTTGGACTTATTAATGTTCTTTATCAGTTTACAATTATCGAACTTAATATTATGATTAAATTTATTGATATGTTTGTGGACTGCTGAGGTATTTTTGAAAATATGTTCCTTAAATCTAGTGTTAATATTATGTCCCGTTTGGCCGATGTAAGTTTTTTTTTGTAATTCGCGACGGTAATGAAAGCTATTACAGTACTCAAACGGGTGCTGTAATGACACTCTTTGCAGCATCCGATGCTGTAATGAGATTTTAGTAACATTTTATGGAATCAGTTCAAGTTGGTGACATTGGGTCATTAATTTTTCTGGTTGTCAATGTGACAATGTTTGTCTTTAAACACGTTCTTATCATCGAATACAAGGTCCACAATAATGAGGACATTGAACTCTGAGCAATTTCTCTTATTTTGGGAGGTGAACATGAAACATTTTTATCAGGTGAATACGTTTTGTGTTTTGACAGTTCCTATTTGTCATTCAAATTTCTATTTTCAAGTGTTACGTTGTTACCAACTGCTACATACCTATTTCCCTACATTGTCAAAATTTATTTTATTTTTGAGAAAAAAAAAGGATAAAAACGCGAATTACAAAAAATAGCATAAAAACACGTTTCATAAGACTTAAAGCACTCATTCATTAAAAAACTCGTGGCTTCGCCACTCGTTTTTCAACTTGAATTCGTGCATTTCAAACGTGTCTTACGAAACTTGTTTTTAATGTACTATTACAGTCCGGATAATCTATTCTGTAAACACCACTAAGTTCCTCGCTCTTAAATTCGTTTTTAATAGCACCATGGGTCTAATTATTTCCACATAGGCCCAGTGATACATTCGTGGTTTAAGACCACAGTTCTTTTGAAGGAGTCTGCGGCAGATCAGGTTAGCCATGATCGCCTTTTTCCTTATCTTGGCAATTTCAGAATAATTTACTATCTCGTTTTACCTCTAAATATTTGACCTCTCTTTTGAGGTTCATAGCACTACCTTCAATGGAATTAGAGTATTTCTAATTTCTTCGAATAGATGCTGAGCCTATTATTTCCGCACCAGGTGATAATATGTTGTAAGGCTTTTTGCATTAATTAGGTGAAACTTATGACTACCGTTACTTTTCTCCATAATCTAGGTATAAGTAGCTATAGCTTTAGCTGTAGGTGTTATAAAGATATTAGTACTGGGTGTAGCTCTTCTACGCCTTTTTGCAGAAAAATAGGCTAAATTCTATCTCATCCAGCCAAATTCGTCAAATTAGAAATAGTTCGCCTTACTGAATGTGAAATTTTTCAGACAGGTGATATCCAAGACTTTGGAATATGCGTCTGCATTAGGGCACACTTTTGGGGCAGGGAAATCTGTGCTCAATAGGAGCTCCAATGATTCCTTAGCATCCTCAGTATATTGTCCATCTTTTTTGCATAGCTGGTCCAGATTAGTGTTGCCATCTTTTGCCTGGACCTTCTGTATGCGAGCAACTGTAGGTGTACCCTTAGCCAATTTCTATTTATGGAACGTGACTTATGTTATTTTATGTTATTTAGGTAATATCTATGGTTGAAACACTTTTAACATTACATAGTAAATTCAACTTACAATCAAGGAAAAGAAAAATAAATTATAATGATATAAATAAATTTAAAATTTATTTTTATTTAACGAAAGGTTATTTTGAGGTCACACAGTTATAAAACGAAATTGTCGCCTTTGATGTGGTCGCGAGTCGGCAGCGGCTCGTAACAATTGTGGCGAAGGCGTCGGGAGTTGGACTGAGGGGTACAACGATCAGAATTGAATTCCGAGTTTGGAAAATAAGAAAACGCTTTTGAGAGGTTCTATTATAATAAAAGCTAAGAAAAATTATAAAATGGACATCGATCGCAGAATCGGCGGCGATACGCTGAGCCGCACACGGCAGCGACGCAACAAACTCCCGACGACGCCGTCGCCACCGACGCCGCCGCCGCCGCCAGGTCACGACATCCAGTTACCCGACGAACACGCGACATGACGGTTGTACGCGTTCGCGAAACCTTTTCGGCCATCGCGACCCTACCTCTAATCTTTATTTCAACACATTTCTAGAAATAACAATAAATAAAGTAATCTCTAAAATTAAAAAAATATATATATCTTCGAACCAAATCAAGAAAAAAAAATAGTTAAAACGTGATGGTTGGTGTTGACGAAGAGGAAGACGTTCGTGTTGGGGCGACCGGTTTAGGCCGTCCTCGAAGGCCGGTATCGTATCCACCGTGCGCGTCAGAAACTGCACCCCCAGAGGGTTTTGACCCTGGGGTAAAAAGAAATTCCGTTCCGGTAACCGCGCCCCCGGTTTCACCACCTTTGCTGCCACCGCCACCGCCGAGTGGTAGAGTTAAGGCGCAGGTGAAGCCCTTCACGAAGGAGTCATTGGAGAGGTTAGAGCGGAAAACCGTGCAACTGGTGCGCGAATACGGGTTTCAACCAAGGCGGAAATTGAGCGTTGAAGATGGATCTAGATTGCCGGCTAAATACGAACCATTTCCGCCGAAACTTTATGGTAGACCTTTGGAAGAAATTGATAATTTTATTTATGATGAGGTAAGTAATTATAACAAAATCATCAAAGTGTTAAATGTTGAATATATCTGCTTACATAAATACATATTTTCTTTAATTATGTAAAGAACATTTTAACTTTATGAAAGCCAAAGCCTTCCCTTTAAAGGGGTATTCAAACGTGTCTAATATGCTAAAAGAAAAATTTGTTTGTTTTATTTCCTGCCAAATTTAAGATGGTCGATAATTGCAGTAAAAGACTATATTGCTATTATAGTTTAAGTAAAAATAATATAATTGAAAACATCAACAAAAAAATATAAATTTAATTGAAATGACGTTAATTAATTAAGATATCTTTGTGGAAATATACGAAAGGTCAAGAAATAAAAGTCTTTGAGATAAAATGTTGTGAATTATTTAATTAAAAAACATTTTAAGACAGTAATTTAAAATTGTATAAAAAAATTCGTTTAAAACTCTATAAAGCTTACACTTTTTGGATGCAAATTTCAATTTAAATTCCTGAATTCGGAACCCAATTCAAATTAAGGTTCACAATTAATTTGTAGTAATAGTTTTTGTAGCACTGAACATTGGGCTGTAGTTTGGAGATCTTCGCTAAAGAGTGTAGAACGAATCTATTATAGAAATCTTCAAGAAATGCAGCACTTAATCATCGTGACAGGCTTGTAAACATCTCGTGCCGCCCGTTCGTTGCCTCAGATTGGTCTAAATAGGTTTACATGCTTGAACGGGTTGCGCTTAACTCGGGTTAGAAATGTAAACAAAATGGGCCAACGCATTAGGAGAGGTATTAATTACAGTCGCTTTTTCGTTTTTGACTTTGTCTTAAAAACGATCTGCTGTTGTGTTTACTTTCTACAAGTTCTATCAATATAAACATATTGTGTTTCAGCCAGTGTAAAATTTAGAGTTAGGCAAGGTGTTGTTTTTATACTGCACAGTTAGACCACTCAATACTTTACGCGGTAGCACAAATATAAGAATACTTCTATAGTATTAGCATCTGTGCTTGAGATGTTAGTGTTATATGTATAGTGAATCAGTAGGATCATCAACTTTAATACTTTTGAAATAACAAATAAAAAGATTTTGAGCAAGTCATCATTGCCAGATAAGGAAATAAGTTGTATGAACAAAAGACAACAAACTAAATTTGAACATATATTATAATGGAATTAATTAAGAGATATGAGCAAAAGCATATCATACTGTTGTACCAAGAACTGAAAACTACTATAAAAGCTTTGCAGGACAAAAAAATATCATGCAAATCATGTTTGGTTCTTGCCTCTCCTGACCATTATGCCTAAATGGATTTTCCTGTCGGACAAACATAATCTACCGAATCGGGTTAAGATATCACACAACCCGTATTTTGAATGGATAATCCAAGAACTTAATTGAAAATTGTTGTCATCGATATTTTCAGGGGTTCAAACTGTTTTATTATGCCATTTATTAGTCGTAGTACTTTTTAATGGTGTTTGATGAAACACATTCTTTTCGACGTATATTGAAATGCTACGTTGCGTTTGCACGTTTTCGGGTTATAGGCAAAATTTTTAAAAGCATTGTCAACCAATGAATCATAAAATATACAATCAATTCAATTAATGTTCACTAGTTTACGTCCTTTAATTACGGATATTTATTAATCTACAAATTGAATAGAAAATTAATCAACGTTCGAATTATTATTCAAACTGGAAATATGACATTAAAGGAAATGTAATTATAAATTATCGGTGAATAAAAAAGAAATAAAACAGAAGGATATTAAAAAACGATAAATTTTTATACCCCTGTTTTACTGTAATCAAAGAGATATTCCAATTCTCTTTTTTTCTGCAATTATACAGTGCATGGAAAAATTATGGACGATGTATATATTTTAATAATTAACACTATGAACAATTAAATTTTGTTTTAATGATTTCTTTTAATGATAAGAAACAAATCGCATACTGATAAGGTGAGATTAATTCGTTTTGATCGAATTGATCGAGTTTCTAATACAGGTGTAATGCCTTTGAGCTATTTGATATATTGAACAATACTGGATACCAATGAATCATTCAATAGGGGTGTGCATTTCTATACCTATTATATTCACAAATGGTTATTGTTTCAAATGTACTATTACTAGCGTCATACATTAACCATCAGTGAATTATTAAACCATATAATAGGTTCTTCAAAAGTTAAAAAATAATGAAAACATAAATTAAACATAAATATGTAGATATAAGAATGTTGAGGATAATTTTAATTACAGTGAATTTTCTTTATGTTGGATTACTTGTTATAATCAAAAAAATTATTCTCACTTAAACGCATTTTTACATATTCCCCTTGACATTATGCCACAGGCAAGTGTAAATATTATCATGGTAGTAAAGCATACGATATAAAGTAGCTTCTGCGCTTGCCCCATTATTCAGGATGATGATGAAGTGGTAAGCAACCATGCTTTTTTTATATAGGTGCTCCGTTTAACGTGAGGGAAACGAATTTCTATTTATAGCGTTCACATTGTGTTAGGTAGCAGAATAAAAAGGTATTCATAACCGGAAATTCGCCGTTAAATATGCCAAGCCGACTTGCCCACACAGTGAGAACATTAATTATGGCTTTTGGTCCAGAATAGTTGAAATAATGATTTAATTTATAATATGTTCCTTTTAACTTGAGACGAGCGAAATCTTTAAAACTTTACAGTTATTTGCAAGGTCATATATCAATTTTTAAAATATCTTCAATATTTTTGTTTGCAAAAACAAGCTCAAATGAAATACAGGGCCAATAAATAACTAAATATTATTGAAAAAAAAAAGAAAAAAACAAAGGAATAGTTGTTTATGACACTTATTCCCCTACAAAATATTTGAAAAGGTCAACCCGCTGCTGTCACCTGCCGAACCAGCAAGTGGTCCTTAAGTTTATGCCTGAAACGCTGCCTACTCCCCCAACTTAATTTCATTTGGGATTGAATTATAAACACTGGACATAACATAAGAGCAGGATCTTTTAAAAATCTCTTGGCTGATACTGAGGATGGCATACAGTGGTTAACACAGGCATTTAACATTGCAGCTGAGGAAGTGGATACTGAGGAAGTTAATAGTGAGCAAGGATTGCGAAATCAGATACAAACGCCCAATTATGTATAGAAAATATTGGAAACAACTTGGAACACTTGCTTTGATGTCATTTTAAAATCTAATATATATTCTTGATTTGAAAGTAAATTTCGTCGATACCTAGGAAACTACAAAACTTTTGCTACAATTTTTTTCACCTATTACTCATTATTTGTCATGAGGAATAAATCCACAAGTTTATGCGTATATGTTGAGAATCGCCCTGTATACAATCATATTAGGTTATAAATTTTCTCTAAAATCTCTAAATTTTATTAAAAGTAGAGCGTTGAATACATAACGTTTCGCACAACTGTGCAAGGAATGTGTTCACTCCTATTGCATACAAATGTAAGGTGGTCGATTTTGGGAGCAACGCATCGAAGTGAATATAAAAATAATGTTCAGCTTTATAACATAGGTATTACATTTTGATACATTACACCAGATATAACACTTTTTTGCTTTGCCCCCGATAAAAGCTTATCCGCGGCTTTATATTTCCATAGTTTCCAACAAAAAAAATATAAGTTTGGTCATCAAAATTGAAAAATATATATTTTTAGCAACCAAATAAACACCGAGTATTTAGTCCGAAAAAAATTTATGTTATGTAAATCAATTTCTAAATTCACGATATTTTTATACAGTTGAAAAATATTCAACCTATTTGTATACAGATAATGTTTTGAAATACCTCTCAATTTGTATACTATTTTAACGAGAGTAATCCATAAGATACGTATTTTGGGTAATATAACGAAAAATCGTTTACACACAAATAATTACTCACACGTTGCGAAATTTTTAGACTGATTTAGGATTTTAATCCTTACTCTTTTTGTTGCATAAAAATCCATTAGCACATTTAACGACCGATATTTAACCTGCTATTTTATTTTTAATATTCTTTTCATAGACTTTAATAGACTCAGACGAAAGTCGTATTTTTTTTTCTGTTCAGTAACTATCAAACAATTCCTTCCCAATGTTTAGGTCATAAAATATATACGATCTGGTTATAAGTCATTTCGTACGGTCGTAAATATCTCCCTTATACCCACGAACATTTTTTCCACCAAAATTTTCGTTTCAAAATAACACATCGTGTTAATGTTAAATATGCTTTATAAAATTGATTTCTTTGCGACAAAACATCGGTGCTACCACACGTATAATAAACGAAGTTGACTTACTGTCTATCTCTAGTATGGAAAACGGTGTACTGTATTAAATTTGATAAATGCCAGAAACAATGGGTAGAACAACCGACGACTGGTGTCTCATTATTCTATGGCTTTGATGTGATACTCGCCTTTTGTTGGTATTTGGAACGCGAATATGAAATGTATTCCGAGAATTCTACCCGGAACATGTATAATCCAAATCCTATCAATGATTATTTACACAAAATCTGTTTTATATGCGATTTTTGCTTTTTAGTTTAAATGTGAATTCACTTTAAAATCCAATTTTAACTTCAATTTGAATGTTAATTTCCTTTCTTTATACCTATGTAACTATAGTTGTAAATTCAGGTAACATACAATTTAATTCTCCTAGTGTTAGTTTCACAAGAATCATAATATAGGAAAACTAGTTCGTATTCGAACAATTACCACAAAACTTCCTGAAGCTTACACCGTAAAGTTTCTCTCTTTCTCTCCATAAAAGGGATTTTCGCCGGCATACGAATCGAATTTAGTTTGAAGTTGGTTGGCCATGGCCCCTCATAGTATACTAGTTAAAACAAGTATGCAAATCACCGTCACCACTATCGAGCGTCGAAAACTTCCACAAACCCAAACCTCGAAAGCAGCAAGCAGGGCACTTTACGTGCTTACGACTAATTCGTCAAACCGGACGTGAAAAGTT